TTCCAAGGGGAAGAAAGACAGAAGCAAACTTAAACAAAATATGACACCTTAGGAAGTGAGACTAAAATTCCAGAAACTTTAGAAAAGTGGAAATAAATATTCCACATTATTGGTTAGGTCCTTAGACAGTGTCATTCTCTGAATTCTTCTTTCTGAAGGAATTAACATTTATGGACTGTCCTTGCTTAATGGATATTCCAGAACAGATGTTAGATTAGCTATTAGCAAGCAGTAATTGCCTTTTGGGTTTGCTTTTTATTTATTTTAGTGAAGCAATTCATTGTCTGTTTAATGATGATAATAAAAGCAAACTTCTTTCAGTAGTAGGTATGTCATGACTGGGAGTAGCTTTACCAAGAATATGTCGATACATTGCTAAAGCTAACGCTGTCATCCAGAGCAAATGTGGGATGAATTTTGTGTTTCTGAATCTTGCTGCTCGTGCTGCATGATGTTAAGAGAACATACCCTAGGTGGGAGAGAGAAACATTGAATGTTCTGGGCACACATGGTGGGGTAAACCTATAGACAACCCCTGTTTTCTGAATATTGAGCTGAACTTCCCAGTTTGACACCCAGCTGCCCTCCATGCAGGGAGAGGAAGGCAAGCAATTCTGAAAGTGCAGCTGCTCTGAGCACTTAAATGGGAACTCCTCTAACTTGGACATCTGGACTATCATGTATACCATTATGTTTAAAATTAGTCATTGGGAGAGAATTAAGAGGAAGAGAAAAGAGAGATTAGTTCAGATAAATAAAATATAGAGCAAGCTGCTTCCCAGTCAGTTCAGACTCTCTCCAGGGAATTGCCTCACTGCAAAGGATGTCTCCCAGCTCCCTTCCCACTCATATTCCTTATGAGATAGTTTCCCTCCCCCAGTGCAGTAGTCCCCCTTGTAGCTCCTGCCACCTAGAACAGGCGCCTTCTGTGTATTGCTTAAGTGGCCCTTTTGCCTTATGACTTAACACCTACTTCTATTCACTGTCAAATGATTTTATATGCTTTTTAGTATATGTGACAGGCAGTGTATTACCCTCTGTCATCTTTTATTTACTCCCATAAAGCATTATGGAATACCATTATTATCTGACATTCAGGACAACACTGCATTGTGTTGCACTACAGCATGGGAAGTTCAGTGCCTTGGAAGAGGCACTGCCTTTTCATTTGCCTGCATCTTTTCTCAAGTGTGGTTTTTTTTTTTTTTCTTTCTTTTTCCCATGGCCAATGTCTGGTTTCCATGAGTTCTCCCAGAGTTTCTGATGAGGACAATGCTTGTCTGCTTGGAAAGGTCTTGTCACTTCAGTCTTACATCTTAGTTACTACAAGAAGTACAGGAGTTGTTGACATTTCCTCAAGCTGCTTCCCAGATGCTTGATGATTCAGAAGGGGCCAACCTCCAGAGACCAAACTTGGGCTACTTAACTCTGCAAAATCCCACTAAAATCCCTTAGAAAACTTTCATGCTTTTGGTTCCAGTCCTGGCGACACTACTTCAAGTAATAATTTAGCATGTGGGAAGAGAGGAAAGAGGGAATGAAGCTTGAAACAGAGCTCAGAAATGAGCTCCTACAGTCTATTCCAGTGTCAGGTGAAGGCTCTCTGTGATTTTGTGTTTCATCCTGTCTGAGTTATAGAAATGGTATTTATGGCTATTCTCATCAAACATACTTTCTTCCTTTGTGGAAAAGGCATATCTTCATGCTGTAATATTTTTATATTCCCTATTTTACTATGCTGAGCGATTTCTCCCCATGCTTCTCTCCAGCTTTTCCTCTGTAATGACTTTAGAATTACAGCATTTACCATGATAGAAATAAGTCACTGTGCTTTGATTTTTAGGCTTTTTAACATGTACCTGACCTATTTCTTCATTTACCTGTTCACCTTGGATACTGCAGAACTGCACCAGCCATGATGTTTCAACACTAGCCTTGTTCAGCTGTGATGGAATTGCTGACAGAGCACCCCAGTCTGTGGGATTCAGAGTTTAAGTTAAATAAAATGCTGTGACAGAGTCTATCTTCCTACTGTACAGTAATGCTGATAACATACTTTGTTATCTGGTGTGCTGAGTGAAGTGCACAGATTGTTTTGTTTGGGGCTTTATATATGAGCACATTTAAAAGGTACTGTCCCTAGCACTCTCAGCTCAGCAGCTTTCAACTCCAGCATGAGGCCTGTACTAGGACTGGCTGGGAGAAGGAGACCTTTCCCTCAGGAGCATGAACCACCTTGAACCATGCAGAGAAATGTGCACTGATAGTGGGAACATCGCAAGAGTTTGCTGTTCAAGAAAGAAGAGCAAACTGTTTTCAGGTGTAGGATGAGTTCTGCCATCTTCTACTGCAGTAACTTTTCTTATTTGAGGAATGGTTGCCTTCATGAAAACTGTTATATTTTTATCCCTTTTCTTGGTTATTTTGGACACAGTCCTGGGCAATATCTTGTCCTCTTGGGTGTACTGGGTGTTTTCAGAGTCCAAACGTCCTCAGCATTTCAGTAGGAATTCAGTAGTGTTGGCTGGACATTTTGTTTCATTCCAGATAAGGGAAAAAAAATAAAAAAATAAAATAAATTAAAAAAAAACACACAACAAAACAGAGGTGTCTTTTTTTTTCAGGAAAAATAAAAAAATAAAATAAAATAAAATAAAAACAAATAAAATAAAACAGAAAACAGTCTTGAATGTAGATGTTCCTGATGAAAACCGCATAGGTGGGTGGTCTTTATTTGCACTGGATTGTTACTTTCCCATTGCAAATAGTTTGGTCAAAACAGAACAAAACAAAACAAAACTGGATAGTTCTGCATTTTGTGAGCTCTGGAGTCAGGGCTGTATTTGTTTAGAAAGGGTGGCTCGGGGTATGAGAACACTTCATCTTGAATGAAAGTATTGTTGGAACATGTCACAAATAGATCTGTGGAGATTGTTTGTATAGGAAGCCCAGACTTTTATCTTCTAAGTTTCAGGTTATTTGGAAGCTAAAATTATTACCCTTTCAGAAGGATAGAATGAACTTTTGACACACGACAACACTTTTCTTACAGCTACATGGGAAGGGAAGGGAAGGGAAGGGAAGGGAAGGGAACGGAAAGGAACCGGTGAGAAGAAACTTAAAGAAAATATGCACTTACCATTA